GTTGTGTGTGTGTGTGTGTGTGTGTGTGTGTGTGTGTAAGTGAGCGAAAGAAGTTTTGGGTCGCAAATTCATGACTCCTGTTCACGTGGACCTAGAGCGTTCAAACTTGGTGGGAGTACGGGGAGGCAGAATGGGAACATGTATGGTGGGTGGCAGGACCAGACCAGTCCACAAAGGGCGAGGTTTTGCGCCGAAATCATCAATTTGGCCCTAGGGCGTTCAAATTTGGCAGAAGTACATGCTTCAGTATGGGAACACTTGTATTAAGTGGGAGGACCGGACTCCGCCTAGAGGGCGAGGTTTGCGCCGAAATTTTCAGTGTGGCTCTAGCGTTCAAACTAGGTAGGAGGCACGCGGCAGTATGGCAACACTTGGTGAGTGGTTGGGCCGGACTCCACCCCAAGGGACGGGGTTTCCACGAAGTAAATGTCTGAGTGGAAATCCATAACTCGTGAACTTGGAGAGCAAAATCAATAGGAGGAGGCAGAATGGGAACACTGACAAAAGAAGTGGCCTTACCAGTTAGGGAGAGGATCCACTCACCAGTTGAATCCTAGCGCCTTTTCTATTCACGATCTAGCTATGACTTTTTGATATGTGCATTCGACAAGAAGGGGGTAAATGGTGTGAAACAGGAGATGAATTTTGTTCGCTTCTTGCTATTGGATTACGACCGCTACCCTGCAAAGTTTGCGATTAAGAGAAAGATCACGGTTTCTCTCTGCTTCGATATCGTTTTTGGCAAAACTTATCCGACCGCTAATAATGTTAAATTCTCATTTAATATTTCATGTATTGGTAGTGGGAAGGAGCTACATCTTCAAAGACATTTGAAAATCTATACTCTCGCTCAGCGAAACAGCGAAATAACCTGCGAAGGAAGGGGAAAATTTCATTAATTCGATGCTTTTCGGACGAAGAGCCTTTGCCTTAAGGAGGAGAGCCTGGCGTGCCTGAAGTGGCTAGTTTGCAACTATCCGCCTTTCTCAATATACTTTCCTAAAATTAATGTTTTATTTTAACTTGCGGTCAAGAGGGACAAATCCCAAATTCACATTGAGCGTTTCGATTCAGCTGCAGGCTCGAAGTAAAATAGAATACTCTTCGTGATCTACCTGTTTAGAGACTAGCATAAAAACATTACGCAAGATTCTCCTCTTCGATTATTCCTTTTTATCACAATGATACGTACAAGTCCCTTGAATGTTTTAAAAAACCAGATGCTCACATTGTATCCATCAGCACCACCATAGTACTGCAGTGTTTTCTCGATAGCCTTCTCAATATATTCGGCATCGAACTCCTCACCAAATACTCGACATAGGTCAACATAGAAACTGTAAATTTAATTAGATGTTAAATTTCTTGGGCAATCTCTTATCCACATAAAACGCCTTCTACTGTGTACGCTATCCGCAAAAGGATACGATATCAAGATTGATCCAAAATTTTGGTTGTCACAAATTACAGTAGAGCTGAGAAAATTTGATGCTAGGATTTCATCTATAATAGTCCTTCACAATGGCGAGATTTCTGCAGCAGTTATTTGTCCTGTCTCATTTGATTGATGCATGCCACCCTGGCTCAACGGCTTTGAAAACATTTTACAAGATGGGGCTGCTTCTACGTAGGAGTGAGCTATCTTACACTGCAGCCCATTTTTGGGAACACGCAAAGAAACAAATGAACAGTATAGGTGGTACAGGTTAGTCATTCCCATTCGAGCCTTTCGAGCTTCGCCTAAAGCTACGACAACGGGTGATCAACAAAAATCCTGTTTTATCTCTATTATCTTCTGAGCACTATGTATTCTCTAAGAGGACCTCTGCAGTCTAAAATCTAAGTGAAATTTTTTGAAATAACGGATCTACCAAATGTGGAGACTGAGGGCAGCAGAACGATTTAGAGCTATTAGTACCGAAAACGGGCCAATGTTGAGAAGGCATCATCGCTTTCCTCTTTGCTTTCTTATACTACTTTCTTAGGGCATTTTTGAAAATGCGTTTCTATATGCGCCCCAGCTGAAGCCACTATATTGAATCAATCTCTCTTGAATCTGTTCTGAAATGTGACTTAAGGAAGACATTGAAGACGAGCATGTATCTCTAAACTCACTCTAGCGAAACAAGTGAACCAAAGATATTATTTGTGTCGCCGTCAGTTGTTGGGAACGAGCCGAACTCCGTACACCTTTGCCATAATGTTGCACGATCAACGGCTGAAATTATCGAACCCTCATTTCACTGAATCTGCTGTAGGTGAAGGCAGTACAGAAATTAAGGCTGTAACCACAACTTCACTAAGGACAGCTCACGAGCAGGGTGCTCTTCAATGGCTGCTTCCATAGTCCGCCGGCGTGCCGGCCGGCCGGCCGGCTTGCCGGCGGAGGCAGTGCTAGCGGGAAGGAGGGAGGCAGACAGATAGGCAAACAGTCCACACCCCTTCGAGGGGTTGAAAACAAACAACCTTCGAAGGGGCGTGGACTGTTTGCCTTACACTGTCTGCCTCCCTCCTCCCCCCTAGCACTGCCTCCGCCGGCATGCCGGCCCGCCGGCGGACTATGAAAGCAGCCAATGTCGTTCAATGTTTTTGTAAGGACGTTTTATTATGATTTGGTCTTAACCGTATTGCCAGTGTTGGAATACTGGTTACCTACGTGGGATGTAATACAACACGTACGACATTTGATAAGCAAGCGTTCTACATGTGGTCCCTACTTCCGGTTGTTTTTGAACCATCACATTGTCAATACTCGAAGGCCTAGCTTTCTCAATGCAAACGAAACCCTCTTGCCATTCATTGTCGAATAAGCTAATTTATGTGTGCGTAGCAGGAGCCTGGTCGCATCCCACAGAGGGTTGCCCTGTGGGATGTCTCATTAAGTTCACAACACAATAAGAAGAAGGGAGCACCCCCTAATCGCTTTCGTCATTCCTTTCACTTCAGTGTTCTCAAGGTGTCTCCGCGTGGCGAAGGTGCAGTGGAAAAAATCTGTTGGAAATTTTACAGTCAAGAAGCTACTAGGTTCTGAGTATTCTAGTTTTTGGAGGATGCGCAGAACATTGTTCTTTTCTGGTATCATGTAAATGTTCGAGAAATCCAGAAGTAGTAGTCTTATGGAGTGAGTGGTAGGGAAGGCAGTACTCATCTTATGACCTGAGAATGTTCACCTATGATTCTAGCCTCTGCGACGGGTAACCAGCTCGAGATGGAGTAACCAATCACTTTTGTTCCAAACGAAGTGTCTTAATATTTTAAATAGCATAAGTCTGGTGGTGGTTTCTGACGACTGTTGTATTTTACGATCTTTTTAGAGACACAATCAATCTTTTTTCATAATTCGAAGTATTAAGTGATAGTATCAGTAAAAATAGTAAAAAAAAAAACTCACAGGCCCAACCCTCTTCATCGAAATCTTTCTTGACAAGGTATTTCACGAGAGCATCAAAATCCACCGGAGTATTTTTTTGCATATCGCTCAAATACTTGCTTTGTATGACTAAACAAAATTAGAAATAAAAAGAAGTTATTATTCCCATCGCTTGCTGAACTCATTGTCTAAGACAACTGCCAAGCTCGATCCTCTGAAATGTTTAGCCAATCCTCAAAGATTCTATAAACACCCACCTCTTATACTATTGATACGTTCCAGAGCTCTTATCTGATCGAATTTGTCATTGTTCATCATTCCACACAGCGACTCTACGTTGAATGAGTGGGTGCCGTTTTGCTGAATGTGTGATTTGATGAACGTAGTGACTTATTTGACTTTTTCAATCAGTATGTTAGATACTAATGCCTACCATGTATGGCCCTCCTCTGTATTGTACGGCTGACAGGAAGTTGTTAAGCTGAATCGACGTGAACAGTTGTATGTTACGGAGATCCGGTGTCAGGGACCGAGGTTCTGTCCTAGATAAAGTGAGTGAGCGTTGGTAAAATGTCTTCTGCGCCGCGCACTCCATAGGTAGATGAACTTTGCGGATCAGTGATTAGTCTACTTGCTAATTCAGTTTTGCGCCGACTTCCCTATTGGCCACCTTCCTATCAATAACTCGATATTTTTTCACCGAAATCGTTCAAAGCTGGATTTTAAAGAGAACGTTCTCTTCTGAAAACATCAGAACCAAACTTAGGGCGGGCACGCGATCGAGGGGCGGGCGCGCGTATTACGGCAACAACGGAGCTGCCACTATGCCCTGGACGTCGAGATTGGGGGAGTAAGAGGGTTCCCTTCTACAACCCATGGGGCCGCTGAGTATTAATAAGGGAAGAACTCAATAACTTTTTTTATCGTGATCGGTGTCTTTAAGGTCTGCAAATGTACACACCCAAAGACGTAGCGGAGGCTGTAGAGATTGCACCGTTCGCACCGGGACGCATATGTTGGACGCAGGCAGGACACTGTAGCTATCTGCACGCAATGGTACACACATCTAGACTATTCGTCTGCATACCCCTTCCATGCAAGTTTTGTCATCACACTCTTGTCCAAGTGGTAGGAAGTGGTGGTTCATAATGGTAAATCGTCAAAATTCCGAAGAAAATGGGAAAATCAGCATAATCAGGGAAATATAAGGCTTCAGAAAGTATTGTAATTTGACGGTGGACGAGAATATGGAGACAGAAATCGTATGGAATTCGTATTTGGACGAGCTGTCCAAATGAGTGTGCCATATGGACTATAGTAAGCTTTCTGCGTGCAGGAGTGCGCCCGGTGGAATGGGGCAAACTTCACAACCTCTACGACGCAAAGAAAACGCTTGCATTCAAGTCGGCTAAGCCAGTTTGTAGCCCTTTCACGCCCCATCCTGGTCATTTTGCGAACTGGCGGCGTCCCTTGTGCTACTCTGGAGGTTACAGGTTCTTACTAGAGGGAGATTTCAGAAATTCTTATCGTGAACTGTGTCATTGAAGTGATTTCCTCTGATGTTCTAACCACTTGCTCACTTGAACAATTCGGACAATTGGGAACGTCCTGTCTCATTGCCAAGCATGTCCATCATCTGCAGGAATCCGATTTTGATGTTTTCGGCACACTTTGGGTCGGAATTGCGGTACACTTTATCAGCTAGTTGCGATGCTTCTGGAACAGAAGATGTTGAAATCCTCACCAAAGAGATTCAGTGTTCGTTTCTTTTTATTGAGTTGAATCAGTGCCCATCAAGAGCTGTTCTCGTTGGTTCAGTAAGAAGAGCAAATGATGTAAACACTTCTCGAAAATGTATATTCACAAAAATACTGATTCGAAAGCTACTTGGGTGTACTATGCCAGCTGAAAGCACCATCAAGCCTGTGAAATATTAGGTTGATGCATAATTATTGCGGATTTTTTCGCGGCTCTTTTTCTCCTGATAGAATTCGAATATTGAGTTCGGGTTTCTTCTAGAAATAATCTACTTGATTCCCTCTACAAGAATATACTCAAAAAACCATCCGCATATTCGCGAAATTAGGCTTAACTACTTCGAGGAAGATTGGAAGGTGGCCCAGTCATTTCGCGATCTCAGTAACTTTTCAGCAATCGTTCATTAGGTGATCTAGTGAAAGTACACATGATTTCCTGGCGGTCAAAAACGATTATTTTGACATTTTCTATTTCCCCTGCATTTTACTCGCCTCTATATATTAGGTTGATGCATAA